CCAATATTTCACATATGGTTTGACCAGGACAGAAAACAACAGATATCATTTATCTGCTCTACATAAAGCAAATAACTATTCTGGGGGCGCCACAATAGAAAAAATTGGGGGAAGAGAGCTCTGGATTTGGAGTCAGGAAGACCTGAGTTCAGATCCTGTTTCAGAAATTTACTAGCCTCACTACTGTGACTCTGGCCTAATCATTTAACCTCTCCTCAGCGTCAGCTTCTTCACCCATAAAATAGGGATAATATTGATATCTACATCCCAGGGCTGTTGTGAAGATAAAATAACATGTTAAGTGTGCTGCAAACTTTAAAGTGCTATATGAACATTCACTGTTATTATCACAGCTATTATTATCATACCTATTATTAGAGGAAGTTGTGCCTACTTTCTTCCCCTAAAGATTCTCCACCAACTCTACTCGAAATCAACTTCATCCCCATAAGAAAGCCTTTTTTTTCCTGTTATGGCATTTCCTGTAGATGAATAGACGGAAGTTCATCAAGGGGAGGAAACAGGTATAGTTCAATGGCTCATGAAACATTTATCAGTGCCTCAAACCAGGAGTGTATGGGCATTTAATTGATTCTATTTGATTAAAGAGAGAGATTATTATACATTATGATAGAAAATGATAAAAGAGGAAAGGACCATATTACTGAATCCAGAATAAATTTGGGGGACAGTCATGGAAATGAATACTTTATAAAACCAGTCAGTCCAACATTAGTATAACTACTAGTCCCCGTGACTTTGAGACAGCTTAAGAATATAATTAAGAGTACACTTTTTAAGACCAAGTAAATCTCAATGAGCTGAGTATGATGCAATTTTTCCCAATCAGGGCTCTACTGGCTTATCACAAAGGGATACCTGGAATGGGGAAGGGAGCTATTTGCTGTCCCTAAATCTTATGAGATCAGAAGTTAAAATATGGACTGAAAAGACTTGCCCTATGGTGCTGTAACACAAAACAAATAGTGCACTGTAGCACTGCGGCTGTGGCTACTTTCTCCTTTACTGAGAACAAAAACATAACTCACATTTATATAAATGCTCTAAGATTTACAAGGTGCTTTCCTCACTGTCTCTCAACAGATCTCTCTGCCCCCAATATCCTATCTCCAGTCTATCTTCTTAACATCTCTCACACTTCCCCCTACTCCCCTGGTGCACTGCCCTGGTTCAGACCCTCATTACCACGTGCCTGGACCATTACAACAGCCAGCTGGTGGGTCTGCCTTCCTCAAGTCAAACTGATAGTCTAAAAGTGCAGGTCTCACCTTGTCACCCTCCCTAGCACTGCTCTCCCCACCCCACCCAAGTCACATAAATAAACCTCAATTGTTCCTATTACTTCCAGGATCAAATATAAAAATCTTGTTTAGCTTTCAAAGCGCTTCATAACTGGAGCCCTTCCTACCTTTACAATTTTCCTACACCTTACTCTCCCAACCATTCAGTCCAGTGATACTGACCTCCTTGCACCAGAAACTCCCATCTCTGCATTTTCACTGCTTGTTCCCTGTGTCTGGAATTTTCTCCCTATTCATTTTTAACTCATAGCTTCCTTCAGGGCCCAGCTACAATCTTACTTTCTGCTAGAAGCCTTTCCTGATCCCCTTCCCCCTTTAATGCTAGTGACTACGAAGCTCTCCAGTTTATCCCATCTTAAGTCTTGTTTGTATGCCATTGTTTGCATATTGTCTCCCCCATTAGACTTCGAAATCTCTTATAGCAGGGACATTTTCTTTTGGAGGGAGAGAGTATGTACCTTTCTTTGTATCTCCAGGCTTAACACAACACCTGGACACATAGTAGGTGCTTAAAAAATGATAACCACCTTGTCAGGTAGGAAATATTATCAAGACTGCTTTAAAGATGAGGCAACTGAGGGTCTGAGAAATTATTAGCTTAAGGTCACAGATTCACTCTCACTTTTGTTACAGTGCTTAACAGATGCTTAACTAGATGCTTAACAAGTGCTTGTTAACAGCCCATCCTGTAATATTCATTAGCCTCCATACTCAAAGGCTCATCAATACCTTCATTCCTCTCCTTGATTAGAGAATGAAAAACTCTCAAATTCTTCATTTAAGGAGGGCACCCATGCTCCCAAGCAGGTACTTTCTCCAGGCCTCCCTCCCCTCCTTTTTAGTGTCTTGAAATCAGGGGCTATATTTGTACTTGTATTCCCAGCCCAGAACTTAGCATGAACTAGAACTTAGTGCCTGGTGCATAGTAGGTGTTTAAGAAATGTTTATTTGACTGACTGAATGACTGACTGTAAGAGACATAGTTCATGCCCAGGTTGTTTTACTCTAAGACCAAAGATTTTCATACTAGCCCACATACCTATGAAGATTGATAGGACTAGGGCCTGGCTAGAAGACCCTTATATTTTCTGAAGCTGCTCTAATGTTGATGAAACATTAATAATATCTTCCAGACAAATAAGTATCAAATTCTAAAAAAATCTGGTGCAATGTTAAAGCGCCTTAGGAAACACATTTTACACTGAAACATCCCTGAAGCAGGAATTTAATTTCGTCACTCACTGAAGAGAGTTTGCAGAATGTCTCATTTCTGAAGAGCTTAATGTTTTCTTCAATACAGGTTTAAGCTGGTTTGCTAACTGTTAAAACAGTATTACCAGGAAAACGGGGAAGGGGAAACTTATCTTAAGCCATATTCATTACAACAAAATTCCTGTACAAGAAGAATTACACTAGCCTTTGGCTTTCTTAACCGTGAACATATTTAAAAATTTTTTTATAACTGTTATTTCAATAAAATGTTTCCTTTGTGACCCTATGTACTTTTTGCTTCTAAAAAGATTCTGAAAAGGGGTCCATAGGTTTCACCAGACTGTCCAAGGGGTCCATGACATAAAAGAAGTTAAGAATGCCTCTGCTTTGGAGGTTTGTTATAGGAGGATCTGACTCGCACATGATCTCATTTGTAATGTTCTCACTACATTCGTAGCGTTCTCACTACACTAAGGTAGTATGGAGACAAAGATACATTATCCTTACCAAAGAGATGCAGAGGCAGAGGAAGTGACTTGTTCTGGGTTATATACTCAGCAGAGGAATTGGTTCTCAAAAGAAATCCAATCAAATCTTTTTTTTAAAAAGCTGGTGGGCTTGAAAGAACTTTGGTCTGGTCATTCTCCTGCTCTGAAAGACTTTGGTTTGGCTTTCTAGAGATGGAGTGTGTGTGTGTATGTGTATGTGTATGTGTATGTGTGTGTGTGTGTCTGTTATGGGGTGGGCCTGACACACTCCAAACAGAAATGTATCAGTTTCAGACAGGCATCTGTGGTTTCTGAATGAACACGGGGGCTGCAGAAAGATGGGGCAGGAAGTGAAGGGGGATATGAGATTTAACAGAGACACGGTGAATAGAGATGGGATCCATGCAAACTTGGTCAGGCCTGGTAGAATTGATGTTTAAGGACATCTGTACTGAAACCATACTGAATAAATTTGTTGTTGCTCTTCAGTCTTTCAGTTGTGGCAGATTCTTCATGATCCCATTTGGGGTTTTCTTGACAAAGATACTGCACGGCTTGCCATTTGTTTCTCCAGCTCATTTTACAGATGAGGAAACTGAGGCAAATAGGGTTAAGTGACTTGCCCAGGGTCACATAGCTAATAAGTGTCTGAAACCATATTTGAACTCAGGAAGATGAGTTTTCCAGACTCCAGGCCTGGCACTCTATCCTTCTTAAAAACCCAGGATAATCATCTATGTAAGAAATATTTATTAGATACCTACTCTGGGCAAAGTCCACATACTCTGGACAGCAAATTAAGTCACAGAACCCCAGAGTGGGTTCTAGCTCTGACTGCACAACTTATTAAATTAGACACCACCAGGTGCCCAGCCAGGCACAGTTTTTTAGGAATGAAATCATAAATAAGAAAGAGCAGGCATATTGTTGTTTAAAAGTCCCATGAAAACACAGTATGATTGTTCTTTTTATCCCCCTTAAACAAGAGATGCAATGTCACGATTATAGGAAGGCTCTCTATACAGCTCAGCAACATTTACAGTCATACTTAGATAATAGAGAAAGTAAAGAAAGTGACTTTGCCCAGATCACATACTGGGTAAGTGTCAGTCAAGGCTTGAACTCAAGCCTTCCTGACAGACATGCCAACTCCATCCACTCATCCACACAGCCTCTCTTTTGAACTGAAGTCTCCCCAAACACTGCCTGGCCCAAAGCTTCACCTCCATTCACAGGATTAGGGAGGAACGCTGCTGCTAAGGAAGTGGGCCAAGGAGGAGAACACATGAAAAAGTGGTGCCTCTTCCTCAAGTTAAAGTGTAGCAAAGTGTGGCAGTTGCTTTGAGCCTACGCATTTAAAAGGAAAAGTTCTGATTTCACTAAATACGTGGAGAAAAGCCCGTACGGACCTTGGCGCTGGGGAAAGTGAAGGATGGGCTGCTCGCTGCTTCCCAGACTTGGGACGCGGGTTCTGAACGAAACCAGGGGTAGCATTTGCATCGGCCTCCCTCCCTCCCATACAGTTTTCTGGCCGCAATGCCCCCAACAGAAAGATCTGGGGTTATGGCTTGCATGGGTCTTTGGGTCCAATCTGCGTAAAAAACTCGGGAAACTTGTTCCAGGAGGGAGACCTTGGCCTCAAGCCCGAGTTTGCCCCGAGAGCTGGAGCAGGGTCCAAACGCGGTATTATTATTAAGTGAGCCAATGTGCGAAGGGGTGGGGCTGGATACGACCGCCAGTCCTCTGGAAGCCCCCGGGACCCGCAGTCCCGATCCTTCCCTTACAGTCCCTTCCTTCCCCCGCCAGCCCCTCCCCCCGCGGCCTCGTAGGGCTCTAGGACCACGCGGAGCCCACGGGCTCCGTCCCGCTCACTTCCTCCCTTCTTGCAGCCAGCTGCGGCTGCTGCCACGGGGGTAAAAAGGGAAAGGTGAGCCCCGCTTGGTGGGGAGTGACCCCGGAGCCGGGGCGCGCGCCCTACCTGGCGAAGCAGTATTCGCAGTGGTTGCCCCGCTCGTTGACCGTGAGCACGTAGGTGTAGGCCGGGCAGGAGAAGAGCAGGTCCCCGACGCCGTAGCGCTGGCGGGCCCGCAGCCCCCGGCCTTTGCCGGGGCTGAAGAACCTCTCGATGCCCGCGTCCGCCCCGTCGCCTCGCGCGCCCTCGGCTCTCATGCTGGGGGCGAGCCCCGGGGCCCGGCCGGCGCGCGCGCTCGTCGTCCTGCCCTGCCCCGCGGAGCTCGGCTCGGTCCCGGGCTCGGCGGCGGCTGAGGCTACTGCTCCCTGCGGCGCGCCGAGCACGGAGGGCGGCGATGGGGATGCCAGCCCGGGGGGTGGGCGCCGCCCGCGCTCAGCTCCCTCCTTGCGGTTACTGGAGAAGCGTCACCTGGAGCCGAGCCCGAGGCAGGCAGGGGGTGGGGGTTCACACCCGCGTGGGGAGGCGGAAAATCAATCCGGCGACTAGCTCCCCGGGAAAGTACTGCAAGCCACCCGCCTGGTCCTAAAGCCCACCCACTGAGCGGCGGCGAGAACGCGACCCAGGCGCCGCTCCGGCCCCCGCGCCCCGGGGCCTGTGGTTCCGGCCCGGCCTTGCCCCGATTGCACTTGCCCTTCCCCCTCCCCCACCCCTTTTTAGCTGGGGGACACACTACACTCACCTGAAAAAGGGGTGTGGCCAGCTGGTGAGGGCCTTCGGGCTGGTGAGTCTGCCCCTAGGCTGAAGTGGAGGTGGGGGGAGGTGGGGCGGGGGTGGGCTTCAGGAGCCATAGACAGTTACACCTAAATATCCTGAGATTGTAAAGTGCAAAGGTCTAGTTCAACCCTCTCAAGTCCACAAGCACTTATTAAGCGTTTACGATATACATGTTAGCCGCTAAGGGATACAATTTTTAAAAAAGGCCAGTAACACCCCCCCCACAGTGCCTGCCCTCAAGGAGCTCACAATTAAATAGGGGTGGGGCAGAAAACATGCGAACCCCAGTGGACAAACAAGGTGTATACAGGATAAATTGGAAGTAATCTCAAGACAGAAGATATTGATATTAAGGGGGATTAGAGCTGAGACGAAGGAAGCCTGCAGGGAGAGCAACTGAGGCCAGGAGACAACATGTGACTGCCCAAATTCCCATAGGTAATAGAGAGCAGAGCTGGGGTTTGAAACCAGTTCATGGTACCTTAGACCCAGGGTACCTTAAACCCAACTTGCTTATTTTACAAATGAGTTAAACCAGGTGCAGAAAGGTCCTCTGATTTCAAATCCAGTGCTCATTCCAGTACGACTTTTCTGTCTGTGGTTAGGTTTTCATGTAAACATGTTTTCAATGTAAACAGTTAAGTTTCCTTTAAAATCCTCAAAAGAAAGGTAAATTATCTGTGCTTGGAGAAAACCTAAACCTTCTCCTTGTCAGTAGGGGTAGGGGAAAATAAATAGGACCTAGGGATTTTATAAGGAAGACATTTGAAGAGGCTGGAAAGAAATTAGAGGGATAGATAGGAAGTAAAGGCCACAGTAAGCCCTAGTCCTGAGGCTAGAGGCCTTTCAAATTTGTACAGAATTCTCCGAGTTTCCAGTTTACAATAGTTTAAAATCCCTTCTGGCCCCAGTGTGCTAACTAAACACCAAATCTAAGAGATTAGTCTGAATCAGGGGTGGGGAATCTGCAGCCTCGAGGCCACATATGGCCTTCTAGGTCGTTATGTGGGGCCCTTTAACTGATTCCAAACTTCACGGAACAAATCCTCTTAATAAAAGGATTTGTTCTTGTAAAACTTGGACTCAGTCAAAAGGCCCCGCCTGAGGACCTTAGAAGGCCATATGTAGCCTCATGAGTGCTGGTTACCCCTGGTCTGGACTATCAGTAAAATCAATCAAGTTAGCTACCTCTCTGTCCAATGGGTGGGTCACTTTGAGGAGAGATTCAAAAAATCTTCCTTCAGCGTGTTTGTAATCTAGTTGGAAGAGGCTGATAAAGCAGGATTTAGGAATCTGGGGGCCGGGCTAGTTTATGCTTTGCAGCCGTGTGAGGTCAGGTTACTTGGGTTTACCGAACTGTGAAATAGAGACAGTAGTAATTGCTGCCATACTTTTCTCAAAGAATTGTTGTGAAAATTGAATGAAAATAATTTTCTGTACAAAATACAAAAGTTGTACTGACTGTATTGTACATATGGTTGTATAGTGTCTTGTTGGAATTCAAAGATGGGAGTGATTCATGTGAGTTGATAGAGTCAGATAAGGCTTCATAGGCCCAGGAGTCACAAATAGAAGGAGGAAAGGGATCAAGACAAGAGATAACCTGTATGATGATAATTGACATTTATTCAGCATATTTGAGAATCATAGGTCTAGTCTCAAAACATACATAGTACTTTAAAAGTTGCATAGCCTCTTATATATATTCATTATCTTATTTGATCTTCATAACAATCCTGTGAGGTAGATAGTATTATCTCCATTTTACAAGTGAGGAAACTGAGGTTAAGAGAAATTAAATGACCTGCCCATAGGCACACAATTAGTAAGCCTCAGAGGCAAGAGTCTAATTCAGGTTTTCCTGACTCTTAACTGAGCGTGCTTTCACACACTATTATATAAATTTCTGTAATTTATGTGTGATACGGGTCAATGATGTAACCGGAATTTTGCTCCTCTAGGCAAAAAATTATCTTTTGCTAATGGCAAAGAGCAGCAGCTTGTCTTAATGGAAACAGTCCTGGCCTTGGAGTTATTAAGACCTAGATTTAAGTCCCACCTTTGACATGTACTGACCATAGATTGGTAAGTCAGCCTCTCCACATCTAAGGCAAGACTGTATGGGTTGCAAAATAGCATTGGTAGACCTAACTTCCTTATCCAGACCAAAAGTTAAAATTGCAAAATAGACATGTTCAGTCTCCATTTTATTGTTCAGTTGTGTTCATTTGGGGTTTTCTTGGCAAACATGTAATTTTGCCACTTCCTTCTCCAGCTCATTTTGCAGATGAGATAAACAGGGTTAAGTGACTTGCTCAGACTTACACATTTAATAAGGGTCTGAGACCACATTTGAACTCAGAAAGATGAGTCTTTCTGAGTTTAAGCTGGCCACTCTTATCTACTGTACTATGCTGCCTACTTGCCTAGCCTCCAATGCAGGAGATATTTGGATGGTATTCCTGCTAATGGAGAAAGGAAGGGAAGGCTGTTTGAAGTTGCTGTCACCTTTTGTCTTAATGTATTATGATCTCCACTGCCATTTCCACTTCTTAGTCATGCACTGGTGCAGACCAGAACAGTTGTCAGCTTTTAGCAGTGTAAGTGACCTTATTTTTTATGGATGAACAAACTAATACAACTTAACCAAAGGCACACATCTGTCTAGTCAATGGCAGGACCTAAATTAGAACTTATCCACAATTTAGCTAGCCAGTCTGAATAACTGATCTTATGCAAGTAGGTAACCCCTGTATTCATAGTGAGAAGAGCTTGTCCTATAGACAGGAGACCAGAGGTTTGCCTCTAGCATATACTGGCTCTATATGGACAAGTAATCTATTTACCTATATCTTTCTTTCTTTTTTTCTCTCTCTCTTCTTTCTTTCTTTCTCTCTCTCTCTCTCTCTCTCTCTCTTCTCTCTCTCTCTCTCTCTCTCTCTCTCTCTCTCTCTTTCTTTCTGAAGGCAGTTGGGGTTAAGTGACTTGCCCAGGGTCACACACAGCAGGATTTGAACTCAGATTCTGTTGATTCCAAGGCCAGTGTTCTATTGTTCCTTTGGACAAGCAGTTTCACAAACCAGCAATCTAGGCCACTGTCTGAGACCATGAATTGTAGAGAATACCAACCTGCATGAGTAGAGGGAGTTTTCTTATCTGGGCATTCCCTATACCAATGAAATCACAGGGCTAGTTCTTATTCCAGTTCCCTATCCTATTCTTGATGAAGGGAGTATTAGATGTAAGTGCAACTTTGTAAATCTTTAGACAGTTATTGTAACTTCTTGTAAAAGTGTGCCTTAGTCTGGAGGCCTCTGCTAGCCTCTTTGTCCGTCATGTCACCATCATCTACAACCAGGCCAGGGTACAACTAGCTGGAAATTCTACTAGTGCTGTGATGCCATTGCTACAAGAAACGAAGGGGAGGGGAAAGACAGAGGCTGAGTTAGTCTTCTCAGTAAAGTAGGGGGTCAGCTTGGGTCGTAGGGACTTGAACAAAGAAAAGGTTTAGATTAGGCACCGTGGGAAATGGTTTTAGGTTGTGGTTTTTTTTTTTTTGTTTCAGTGTAACCTTGGGCAGATTACTTAACATTTCATATCTGCATTAAGGGGAGACTGGCCAATGAGAGACTGGGCCTTAGTTCATGCACTGCCAGCTTCTAGGCATGCATCATGGGTGGGGGGGAACCATTTTCCTCTTATGACCAGTGGAGAAACTTTTTTTTTCTTTCTGGTTGGCCACATTGTATAAGGACTCTCTGAGGGCCAGTGTGGGGGTGGGGTGGGGAGTACTCTCTCCTTCATTGGGCCAGCTAATGAGCCCATCCATGGCCTCATAAACAGGTTTGTGTTAGGGAAAGGGCTGCCTCCAATTTGTGTCTTTCACTTGGTATATAGCCTTGTGAGATCTTGCAAGGTTCAGTAACTGGAGTCCATACCAAAGTTTGTTAGTATTTGAGCCCAGTGAGAAGTGAGCTGTGGAATTCAGGCTAATATGGGTCAACACTAGCCAGGACTCTGTGTTCTGTAAGCAAGGGAGTAGTGATTTCATCCATTGGCCATACCATATTTGGAAGTGAACTTGAAGCAAATGCTTTGTCAGCAACCATTTTAAGTTTGGACGTACTTTCACTAAGGACAGAGGTATAGAGAGGTAATTGTGTCCCTGGATTGGGAGGATGTGTTTATACTTCTTTTTTTGTTGTTGTTGTATCTTCAGTAAATATCCTTTTTTGTAAAAGCTAATTGATGTTAACTGATTAAATTGATAGAAGAGTCAGTTGATATGGGGGGAGTGGAGATACCATGGTGATGATTTTGGGAAAAACACACTGGAATGAGGGTTTAAACCAATATTATTAGTTACCAGTTGATGGATACAATATCATTAAATGGCCCCCTTTGACACCTCATGCTGATGTAGGGTTACCCCTGGAATAGTAGTTTGCTTTAGCTCCTACCCTGCCAGTGGAATTATGGTTAGGATAAAAATTCTCTGGAATCCACATGGACTATATGTAAAATGAAGAAACTAGAGTAGACAGCTTTCCTACGTCCCTGTGATCTGTTAGGGTTCTGTCCACCTTCCATTCTTGAGGCAGACTGATTGAAGGATAGCAATGGAACTGTGGCAAAGGTGGACTTTTTGCCTTATGGTGTAATTATGCTGATGCCTGGGAGTAGGCCAAAATGGAGCTATGGCTGAAAGCTAGCCACTTAACAATTGCTCTAGGTGGCTGAGGCTCTGTATCTTTTTCTTCAGAGACTTGGGGCAGGACACTTAAGCTGCTCTATACCTTATTTTGTTCACTGGCTTTTAGGGATGCTAATTAGGGGATAAAATGGCATAGTAGAAATAATGCTGGACACATTTTTTTAAAACTAT